ACTTACCTTCTCTTTTCTCTTTCTGCCTTATTTCATACAGTTTGGAGTTGTCTTCCTTATTAAACAAGATCAAGATTCCTTAAAGTTTTATATAATCTCTTAAAAGGAAACAAGGGGAAATACAGATAAAGGAAAATAATGTATGGAAAGAATTGATTCAGCTCATCAGAATTCTGAATTTAGTTTACATGAGATACAAAAGCATTTTCCTGCTTTTCATATCCAAGTCCTTAATGAGGCAGTTTTGTCAAAGTGAAATCTCAAAAATAGAATGTTCCAGTAAGATGTCTTTTAAATCTGTCTACTCTTTGTGTATGCTAAACTCATCAACTGCTTTTCTAAAATAGCTACTGTTTTGCAGCAAACGAAGCACAGACAATTGAATGTGTCAACACCACTCATGTGGAGTCACACTAAGATTCATTTATTTTTGTCAGGAACCCATACTAGTAGTGAATCAACAGCACTGCATTTGTAGTCAGATGTCACACATATTCCATATCTATCTCAAAACCTTGTTTCTGCTCTCAGATGGGTTGTACACTGCAGTAAGGGCTGCAGCGACCCGGAAGAACTGGCACCTGGGAGCATCAAGATTGCCTTTGGCTGGCCCCATTTCCAAATTATTCTGAAAGAAAGGAAACCCGTTTTTAGAGTGCTGTTCTTCAAGAAAAGCCTAGAACAGATTAGAATAACTACAGCAAAATATCTGGTGTATCTTCTTGAAGGCGGGACCGAGAAAGAAGACTTGTTGTAGGACCAGCTCAATGAATGATGGACAAAACGGTAATGATGGTGAATCCAAAGGTAATCCTTATCGCAGGATCTCCACTGCTCCTTAGGGATGGATTCAAGCCCTTGTTACTAAGCTGAGGGTATACTTCAATTTGGAACTTCCCTGCCTGGCACTTCTTGAATTCTGTCAGGGAAAGTCTGGACAGAAATTAGTATGTTTGCATAACTAGTCCAACATGCCCTGGACACAGATCTACAGGACATTCTTTTCCAAAGACTCATGGAAACAGAAACATTTCTTCAACTGAAAAGCAAAACAGCAACATCTGAAATCTCAGATAAAGAAAAGACAAGCTGGATAGACCTACTTTGTGCATTAAATAATGAGAAGATATGGTTTTACTAAAACCTTTATCATGGGAAGGATGATGGGGAAGGAAGAGCTTTTGCTATTTTGGTCTGACCAGGTATGAGAGTAAAACACCAAAAGGCTGCAATGTATTTGGATTGGAGGTAACTCAAATGGTTATCACTACCACAGAGCCACCAAAGTCATACCATATATGCTCAGTAAGTTTCAATCTTCCAGATGTTTTTTTTTTCCTAAGAATATATGTCAGGTTGCATCCTTGAGCATATGGTGCCATTTCAAAAGTTACACCACAGTAGGCAGCTGGGTAGGAAGAGGTAGGGAGGGAAAGAAGCTGTATGCTTGGATGTCTGCCAAGGCCACCTTTCCTTCAGAGTTTTCCCCATGCCTGTCATTGCTGCAAATGCCCATATTGCAAATTGTTAAGCTAAGTTGTGATGTAGTTTGTTACCAAGTGGAAGAGTTAACAGCTTCTCTCATTTTGTAATCTCACAGACATAGGCTATTTGCTTAACAGACAAATTCAACCTTGCAAATGTTGGTGCAGTGCAAGCAATAATGCACTTTTACCATAAACAAAACATATTTCCCTCCTACAATAGTTAAGACAATCACTGAATTTGGGTTCCTACTCATGACTGGAAGTGTAAACCCAGAGAGGGTTCTCAGGAGGCCTCTGGCAAAGGTGGGTGGCGAGGATGGACTATGGTACGGGCCACCAGGACATTCAGATGGTTTTTTAACCTTCCGTAGCTAAAATGTTGTTCTGTATATTCCCTAGATGCTTTCCCAAGGGAAGGAACTGTTTGGAGAAATCACCTCTTGTACCTTCTTTCAGAGCGATGAATATTGTTCTATATCAGTGGCTACACATAAAATGTTTATACTATTCTTTTTCAGAATTTATAGATCAATATGGACTATTTAAATGTATCAGAAACTAATAACCTGTAGTAGACTACTTTAAAACAATGGCTGCATTGGAAAATCTTTGTATTTTAATGTCCAAAACTTAGTTTTCTGACCCTTTATAGACTCACATTAATAAGCTGGGGGTTTCCTAGTACTCTGTCTCCTATTACTTAACCACTGAGCTAGCTAGTCTCTTGATCTTACTTGGATTTGCACCAGAAATAAAATGGCACAGAAATAAAATGGTTTGCATTAGATTAATGATTCATTAAGCCAGGTATTTCATGACTTCAGTAGGATTTGTACCAATGGCACACAGTTGAAGAACCATGTTCCACTGCTGATCCAGCTAGCCAACCAGTTGAAAATAAAAAAGAATAGAGTTAATGAATTACATTTAAGGAGCCATTGAAAAAAAGAAAAATCAAACTATGTGACAACAAAACTATGGAAATTATATTGAACACCTATTCTAAATATGAACTGTCAAGGAGTTTTTAAATTATCCTTGCCCACATTGTAATCAAGACAACAAACTGGTATCTTCTTGTAATCATACTGAAGTCTATTTTTTTTTAAATTAAGATTTCTACAGGTATCTAAGGAAGTGCTTCCTGTATGCCAAAACTGTTACAGCCAAATGAGTAATTAAAATATGTCATTCTGTAGTGCTCATAAAATAAGAAAGGCCTCGATGTTGGCCAGTAGACTAAGACTACATGGAATAAACATGTCTGGCAGAGCCAGCTTAATGAAAGGGTGGTGGTTTAGGTATTGGAGAGGTATTGATAATTAACAGCTGGCAGGTAAAGGTAAAAAGTTTGCTGAAATGTTACTAAGTTGAGTTATACTTTGACATGACTGGGACAAAATGTGACTATCGGCTGTATATTGACTTTGATGATGAAAACTTGTTTTTCTCTGGACAGTCAACATGGACTCTGGTGTGGATTGCCAGCATATTTTCTAGAATGTCTACCTGCAGTAAAAGGTTTCTGCATCACACACACTTGTTTCCTTACTCTGACTGCAGGACATCATTCCATTCTCTTGAGCTATTATGGATCCATTATATTAACCATCTTTTCACATCACAGTAACAAACCCCCTATTATCAATTTCAGCTTCTTCTTTATTCAGTCTTCAAAAAATTTGTAAACTTACTTTGTTATGTTAATAAAATCATCTACTACAGCTCTATACAAAAAAATCTAATACAAATCCCACTAGTAGGCATTTATAAGCCAGAAAGTAATAAACCTAATGTTGTCAGTGAAATCTGAATTCTGCCCCTCCTTCTTACCATCCACAAGAGCAACAAATCAACAGGCTACACGGGGAGACTGTGAGATGCTCTGAATAAACAATACTGTTTTTAGTGTAGGGTGTGAGAATCCTCTGCAGGAAGCTACAAAATGTCAAGCTATTTGCTTGTACTTTAGATAATTTCAGATACGTTTGCAAAAAAAAAAAATCTTTTTTCCTTGTCTAAGGCAGAATATTCAACACATAGTGACTGAACCCGTGAGGGAACAGCAGTATGAGCACCAGCGATGCAGTATATCTTCAGTAGCCATGCTGTTTTGGGTTCAGGCTTACACCCACCCACATATGTTGTATTATACCATTGCATAACCAGAGATCCCTGGAGCCTGAATTCTCAGTCTCTATGGCTGCACACGCTGTAGCTGCTGTGCCAATATAGAAATACTGATATCGTGTGCTGGTGCACCACCCCATGAAAGTGCTACTAGTGTGACTTTCCCTGAGATAAAGGATATTTCTTCAGCCCTTTGGTTTTTCTTTGTGCTAGTTGTCCATCTGAGAAAATTATATGCTAGAGAAAACTCCTGAAATGGCTCATTTATGCCTACGCAAATTACAAATTCTTTCAATAATTGCTTGTTAGTATACAGTCAAAAGGAGACTAATACGGAGTCTATTAACAAGGTAGCATTGAAAACTCAACTGGAATATCCTAAAATATAAATACCTGCTGAAGTAAGAGGGCTTGAATTTTGACAGTGGGTTGTCATTTGCAGTCGATGATGTTGTTGTTAAATGTGGAAGACATTTGCCTACACATCCAAAATGAGTTTAAATATTTGCTTCTTGAGAGTTTCCACTGTCATACAGAAAGACAAAAAAAGACACTTGCTATGACAATAAGTTGCTTTATCTAAACAACTGTTGCTTTAGCTTTAAGCTCAGAGGAAAGGGGAAGGTCTCACAGGAGAGGGAAGGGAAATGGCCTGAGAAAGTTCCAAAAACACCTGGCTGAGCCCAAGGGGACTCAAAAGTTGGTGGAAAAACTTTGTGTTTTTGTATTTCTCACTCAGAGAAAAGGAGGCTCATGGGAGACCTTCTCAGTCTCTACAAGTCCCTGAAAGGAGGCTGTGGGCAGGTGGGAGTTGGTCTCTTCTCCCAGGTAACAAGCAGCAGGACAAGAAGAAATGGCCTCAAGCTGCACCAGGGGAGGTTTAGATGGGACATCAGGAGGAATTTCTTCACAAAAAGGGCGATTAGACATTGGAATGGACTGCCCAGGGAGGTGGTGGAGTCCATCCCTGGACGTGTTCAAGCAATGACTGGATGTGGCACTCAGTGCCGTGGCGTAGTCGACAGGGTGGTGTTCGGTCATAGGTTGGACTCGATGATCTCAGAGGTCTTTTCCAGCCTAACTGATTCCGCGATTCTGTGATTTCATGCTAGCCAAAAGCCGGGATGATGACCATCCTTGCTGCCGATCTTTTCCCACTATCTCAGGTCTGAGGAATTTAATTCTCAGCTCCGCGTAACCACACGGCGGTTCTGGGGGCCGGCGCTCTCGGCACTGGATTGGTGCTGCCTGTGCCGGGTGCAGCGCGCGGATCTCGCGCTCCCCTCGCCCGCGCCGTTGTACCCGCTGGCCCCGCCCCCCGCCCCGCCCCCGCCCCGCCCCCTCTGCGCCCGCGCCGTTCCCCCCCCGGCAGTGCGGAGCTGCGCCGCGAACATGGCGTCCGAGGGCATCATCCTCACCAACCACGACCACCAGATCCGCGTCGGCGTCCTCACAGGTACGGCCCGCGCCGGCCGCGGCGCCGGGGGCACAAGAGGGGCGGTCGCGGGTCGGTGAGCGCCGCGGGCCGCCCTGCGGGGTGCCCTTTCGGCCGCCTTTCTCTCCCGTGGCGGCGCCGCCGCCGCCGCGCAGGGAGCGCCGCTCCGCCTTGCGCGCGGTACCCGAGGCCCGGGGCCGGGGTCGGGGCGTGGGGGCGGCGCTCCGGCCGCCGGCGGCAGCGTGAGCGCGGGGCCGGGCGGTGCTGGGCAGCGCTGCCGCAGGCGGGCGGGCGCCGCAGCCCCGGGACTGCCCCGGGGTAACCGCGCCGAGGGGACGGGGCGCGCTGGTGGGCGAGTGCCGGAGGGGCCGGGACGCGGCAGTGCTGCCTCCGAACGCGGCGGAGCCGTGAGTGCGAAAGCGCTGGAGAAGGGAGCCCTTGGCCGGCGCCGGCTGCGGGCCGGCAGGTGCCGGGCCTGCCTTCTCCGGGCGGGAGGCGGCCTGAGCTCCCGGCCGCGGGAATACCGGAGCGCGGCACGCTCCGCACGACAGGTCTTTTGGGATGGCTCCTTCCCCTCCCCCTCTCTGGCCTTTGCTTTGGGCGAGGGGGATGCCTGTGTGCTCTCTGTTGGGAGGGGGAGGAGGGCATTTATGATGCTGCTGCTCATAGCGCACGGATGATCCTTTAATAAACCCCTGGCACATGACCTGCGGTGGCTGCACAGAGGGGCTCCCGGAGCCAGTGCGTGTGTTGCAGGCAGGGGGGTCTCTTTGGGGGGCCTTTGCGGGTATCTCGGTGCCTCGCAGCGCTCGGCGCTCCGGGGGGCGCGCGTTGCGCTCCGAAGCGGAGCCCCGGGGGGTTCCGGAGTATCAGGGCGTAAATAGCGTTCCTGTGCAAGGAAGGCGCGAGAGATTTTAGCGAGATTTTTGGGCGTCAAGCTGAGGAGGTTTCACCGGGAGCCTGGGAAGACATGACTGTTCATGGAAAGCGGCGTTGTGAGCTCGCTTAGGAGTCGGAGGATGTTCGGACTGAAAAGGGGGTACGTTCCTGGGAGAGGAGGCCTGGATTTAACCCGAGGGTTATTTGTTACCGCTGGCAGTGTTTAACCCGAGCGGCACGTTCGGAACCGCCCGTGCCCGCGGGAAGCCCCGGCGCTGTTCCCCTGCCGGGTGCTGATCCCGCCGCCGGGAGGGCGAGGAGTGCCGGAGAGATGGTACCCTTCCCTTCTTCCCTTCCCTGAGAAGCGCTTGGCCGCAGGATGATTTTGACAGTAAACTGCTAGAAAAGCAGAGTATGATACAAATGGAAATCCTTAGCGTTGCTTTCAAATTCCAGGCAGTCAGATCTTTAATAAGGACAGAGTGGATTGGACCAGATGCAAAAGTCAGACGGGGGGGGAGGTGTTCCCTTTGTTCCTGAAGGCTAGGACATGCCTGCCACTACCTACTACTGTAAAAGTTAAAGTGAGAATGGGGTACCTGCTGACAGAATGCTCTTTGCATGTTTTGTACAACTTGATGTTCTGTAACTTGGATTGTTATTTTCTTTTGATCAGTGAGTTGTAATAATTTTCATATGTAATTGTTCTCAGAATGCAATACCAGATACATATAGTGTTATAATAATTTAAATAACGATTAAGTCTTGCAACAGATTCAGATAATCTTTCAGAATATATTGGTTTTTACTTTGTACTATAAGTCCTGTTTGATCACTGTTAAACTCTTTCAACTTTGTATCATAATTTGCAATTCCATTGAGAAGAGCTTGTGGCCTGATTTTAATTTTTTGTTTTTAAAGGAAAACCAAAAGTCATAACCAAACAGAACAGTTTCATCTCTTTTCCCCTTCATGTAATTGTTTTGAATTCCAGACTGAACATTTTTGCAAAGAATTATTTTGCCATTTTGAAAGGGCTCACCTTGGTTTCTAACAATTTTCCTAGCCCCCTTTTTGTGTATGTTTTTAGACATGAAATAAAATTTTATATAAATGTGTTACTTTAATAGCATACATTGGACTAACCTTAATTATTTTTCACTCTAGAATTTCCTTTAACCCCGAAAGAGAACATTTGTACTTTGGAGGGTTTGGACCCCCTAGCTGTTTGTGCTTTTTCAGCTGTGGAAAGACAGCAAACTAAAAAATTCACTCTTCTGAATTTTTCTCATAGAAATGAACTAATAATTGCTTCTTGGCTGGTGTCTGGAGGAATAGGTGTGGAAATGGAAAGATTAGGTATCCAAACTGTTTTTTTTTTTATTTTATCATTTAGAGTAGCTTAGTGATCAGAAATTAGATAAATAACATGAATCTTTTAGCTTTTCAAATTAAGATCATAGCCATATGTTTGTTTTCTTAGCAGTATATACTTGTGGTCTTACCAGCACAGAAATACAGATTTATGTTCCTGTTGGACCTGGTATGCGCAGTTTAGAAAATAATCGTTACTGCACTTTATGGTCAAATGCAGATGGAATTTAAATTTACTTAGAAGCAACTCTGTTTAATTAATTTGGAGTAAATTTCTGTGTTTATTTTTAAATGAGGACATATAAAAATTATTTGGGCACATTGTTAGTCTTGTCTGTTGTAGAGACTGATGCACATGGCTCCAGAGTATATTAATACAGAGTGAGTAAAGTTTGCCATGTAGCTTAGTTTCATTGCATTCAGTTTTGTTTTGGATAAGTAACTGTATTTCTTTGTGGTTGGTAGACCTCTGTGTTTATGTGTGTATTGCTAGTTTCCATTTAGAAACAAATGTATACTTTTTTCACTTGTGACGAATTAAGACCATTACAAGGGACTAGAGAAATAGAAATTTTGTTTATTGTTTACCCAAAGTAACTTACTGTGTTCAAATGCAAAATTATGTAGAATGTAGCATCTTGGGCTTTTTTACAAATATTGCTTGTTAACTTTTCTTATATCCAAACTGTCAAAGTCTCTTAATTAAGAGTCAATGATAAGAATAGAGTCCATAATTAGGACATTTTTCTCAACGTGAATTAACTGTCTTCCTGAAATCAGGAAAAGTACTTTAGTGTATACAGCATCTATGGATTTGCAAATGTCATTCATATTTGTTTTTGAGTTGCTATACAGAAAGTTGTAGAGTTAAGCTTCTTTACTGAAACAGTAGAAAATATCAAAATGACAGAATGCAAAACTGTGAAACTTGTAAACTAGAGGGATGTGTCTTATGTGAATAGGAAGTCTCACTGGTTTGTGGGTAGAAAATTGCGTTCCAATATTTGTGTGTTATTGTTTTAAGAAGTTTTGCGATTTGTGAAAAGAGTGCAACTGTGGAACTGTCCTACTCAGCCCCAGTGTTTAATGAAGTGTTCAAATTAAAGATACTGCTCACTTAGGTTCCAAACCTAGGTTTTCTGTCTCCTACCTTTGATATGTAGTGCAGGCACATGAGCGAATAATAGAGGTTCAGTGTTATGTTGTCATGAGGTTACCCTTACAGTAAAATAGATTTAAAAAGGGCTGCAATGCTAAATGTCAGATTGGGAGATTTTTTGTGATGGAGTAACAGAGTTGGGCTAACAATGGCCAAAGCTTTGTTATTTAAATGTTCTTGATACCTTCTTTTAAAAAAGAAACACAGAGTAACAAGAAATGTGGGGTAGGTAAACAAATGCAAAAGAGGAGATGTATTCATTTATGGTAAAGGTTGGATTATATGTATGCTCTGTATGTGCTGTTGTGCACCGATGCTTCCTTAGTAAAATAAAAATCTGAATTATTCTGGTTACCCCTTGCAAGCCTTTCATGTTTGAAATATCTCAAACAGAACAGTTGTTAATCAGTTACTAGTGGTGTCAGGTTATTGAACCTGGATTAGTAAGTACAGAATTTTGTAATGCTAAATTTGGCTAGAAAAGGGGAGAAAAGGTGCTGTGCCCAGAGTTGAATCAGTATTAGGTCCACATTCACTGGTGGTGACACTGGTAAAAGTTGCATAATCTGTGACCTTTCTTGTTTTGAGAGGCTAAAGCAGACCCTTGACTAGAACTGTCCAGAGAGATCTAAATGATGTTGCCATTTCCACTAGCCTGATGGAAAAAACCATACTCTATTTCTCCCTGATTGCTCTTATTTTATCTTTTTTTTCCTCTCCATCCTCATTTTCTTACTTACCTCTCTTCTTGTTTTCTTTCCAGTAAGTATCTAATGTAGCTGGTCAAAACTTGAAGTTTTGTTACATGTTTTTCTTGTTTTGTGTGTCCCCCCCCCCAAATATTCCTGATAAAAATTTGTCAGATTTTGGGTTGGCTAATAACACTTCGTTCATATAGTGGTACAGCCTTTCACCTTTGATTGTAAAAATATTTTATAAAGGGAGTAAGGGGTTTTGGCAAAATGCAACCCTTCACTAATGGTTTCTTCTTAAGGTATATTGTTCTTCCTTTCTTCCTCTATGTAAAGATTAGAATATTTTGAAGGATAGCTGTTGCCATAGGCCTAGACAATAAAGCAAATATTTGTGAATGTGTAACCTCAGACCTTATTTGTTCTCTTAAAACGCTGCAGTGTGAAAGATGACACGGGTCTGAGACCGCTTAGCTTTTTGAAATGATACAGTGTGGACATTGTGTCTGAATGCATCACTTTGAAGCAAACTCGCTTCTCAGATGGTGAGGGCGTTGTCTACTTGACAGCCTCACCCAAAGAAGTTCCCTGGGCAGATTTGAAGTTCACTGATATGAATGTTTTGCAAACATTATCTTTGAGAAACATGGGGAACGATATACTGAGAATGTCACTATATGTTGGTCAGACTGTTTTAGAAATATATATGCTGTCTGTTTTCTAACTAAAAAGTTATATGCCTGTCTCCTATTTTATGAGGAACATTCTCATGACTTTCCTCCAAGACTCTTCATTAATAACATGCAAGTTGCAAGATCTTTTCTCGGTGGTGATGCTAGTCATGTTTTGGACATGCATTGGAATTTGTGATAAACTTTCTTATAGAGGTGTGTGTGGGAGGGTGAGGACTGACAGGA